CCCTGCGATCCTGCTCCCTGCCTGGGGGCCCAGGGAGGGGACACCGGGCTGAACACCCCGCCCTGCCCTCCCCGGGCTCACCTGCGGCTGATGAAGCCGTGGAACCACGAGGGCAGCTCCCCCTCGGGGCCCAGCCTGTGCGCCTGGGTCTGCTCGAACCACAGCCTGGTGCGGGCACGCAGCGCCACCCGCTCCTCATCCTCAGGCTGGCACGGCGCTGCTGGGGCTGCCCAGAAACCTGGGGGGACCTGGGAGAGCATCAGGAGCTCAGGTGAGTGTGGGATCTCAGCACATCAGCCCTGATGTGCAGAGTCACCGAGACAACCCTTGGGGGGCTCGGAGGTCCTGGAATGTTGCCAGAAGTGTCTGGTGGCTGGACTGTGATCCTGCACGGGAAACGACACCTGTGTGAGGATGGGAGGATCTCACGGGGATAAATGGTGAAGGGATAGGTTAATTATAGTGTGAAACACAGGGTTTAGAATTTCGGTACAGGGGGGTCTAGAGAAACAAGATGGAGGAATTGGGGCGTGTCCTGTCCTTCTTCTTCTTCTTCTTCTTGGCCTCCATTTTCTGTGGTGGTGGTGGCACTTTGGGATTGGTTCTTACTAAAAGTGCACTTGTCAATAGGGGTGAAAGGTATTGGGGAAAATAGGTAAATATCTTACACGTAGTTTTGGGTATAAAGATAAGTGACCGCCCCGAGGGCTCTCAGTGTGCTCATGGCCAACGTGCTGTGCACACCTCTGTCGGGCCGAGAGAAAATCTTGTAGATAAAAACTAATAAACACTGAAGACCGAGAAAAAACCTGAAGACTCTTTTCGTCCTTTGGAGCGCGGGCTGTCCCAAGGCCATCCCGAGCCTTTCCAGGCCATCAAAAACAGCCGAGAATGGGACAGGTGAGGACACACAGCAAGGACGTTCTGCTCACAACGTGTCAGCACCCAGGACATCCCTCTGGCTGGCCTGGGTGGCTGCAACCCCTGCCAGGGGGCACAGGGACCCTGGCACAGAGCCCAAGATGCCCCTGTGTGGGTTTGATTATGACCCATGGAGAAAATTGCCAACCTTGTATGAAGATCAGCAAGCCACAACAGTTTAAGTAAAATAATAGTGAAGTTATCATCAGGTGAAAAAATAGATTTTAGGGTTTTCAGAATGTGGGTTCAGGAGGCAAGATGGAGGGATCTGGGCATGCCCAGCCTTTCTCCTTCTTCTTCTTCTTGGCCTCCATCTTCTGCTGTGATGGTGGCACTTTTGGATTGGTTTAGACTAGAAGCTCTCTGTCTAACATAGGTGTTGGAAAGTAATTGTAAATATTGTACAGGTAGTTTTTAGTATAAAGACATAACACTGCCCTGGGGCAGGCAGAGTGCCTGGAACTGTCCTGCTGGACGGACCTCAGCAGGGCAGGAGAAAATTTTTTATAGATAAGACGCAATAAACAACCTTGAGACCGAGAAATGAAGAGCCCTGACTCCTTCTTCAAGCGCTGGGCTGGGAATAGAAACTTTCCAACTTTTCTCGGGGTCACTCTGAGCAGCAGAGACCCTGACACCAGTGCAGCCCCCTGAGGGTGAGGGAGCACTGGGAGGGTGAGCTGGGCTGTGCCCACCCTGGTGTGCCCATGTCCTACCCTGCCATATCTATTGTCCCCATGTCCTACCCTGCCGTGTCTGCTGGGCCGTCCTGGGGGCTGCTCTGAAGCCCCCTGGGCCTGGCTGGGGGTGCTGCTGGATCCTGCCTTGGCTCTGGCTGTGCTGTCCTCACCGAGGGGCTTGAAGGTGCTGAAGAGGGGCCGGTCCTCGTCCATGGAGTGCCCTGTGCCAGGGAGAGGGGAGAGGAAAAGGCTCAGGGCAGGGGGGTCTCCTTTGGGGAGAGCATTCCAAGACACTCCCACAGGCCCTGCTGTCACCATCAGCTTCACCTTGTGCTCCCCAAGCTCAGGCTTAGGCCCCTGATCCTCCCCAGGCTGCAAAATGGGGGGGACAGTGACCTTGGCACCCCAGAGGAGAAAGGGGGACACTGATGTAGGTGGAGAGGAGCTCAGGAGGGAGCACATGAATCCTCCAGCCCCTCTGAATCCTCAGTGTGTCAGCTCAGCCCTGGGAAGGGGTGGGAGAGGCTGAGCAGCTCCTGAGGGGCCTTGAGCTTGACCCTGAGCTGCCAACACGCAGCAAAACAACGTTAAGGCCCAGCAGAGGCTGGAGGGGGTGGAAGATGCTGGGGCTGGATGGATCCAGGAGGCAAAGCTGAGTCAGAGCAGTGGGTCGAGGCTTTTCTGAGAGCAAGGGGATCCATAAACCTTTTCTGAGAGCAAGAGGGATCCAACCACCTTTTCTGAAAGCGAGGGGACCCAGCCACCTTTTCAAGGGGACCCAGCAACGGCACCCCTTTAAAAGCTCCACCTTTAACCCACAGCAGTGCCCCACCCAGCCCTGCACCCCTGCAGGCAGGGGAAGGTGAGGAAGGTGTTGACAAAGAGAAACAAAACACCCCAAAACTGCAGTAACCAAGCTCAGGGGGTGCTGGGAAGGAGAATTGGGGTCAGGTCCTGCCCAGGTCAGGCTGTTGGGGACAACGGCACTGTCCCCAGCTCGCTGTGCATCCCCCTGGGGCAGGATGTGCCTCTGAAACCCCGCAGTGCTGAGGTGGGAACGAGTCAGATCAGCCCTGGAATGGGCTGGGAGTTTTTCTCTGTGCGACAGTTCCGGGCTGAACTTCCCCCTTTGGAGGGGGTAAGATCTGGCTGGAAGGGCTGACGTGGCCAGGGGACCCCAATCCCTCTCTTTTCACCCCAATAATGTGCCTTTTGTCCCGCCTTTGGGCAGGGGGACATCCCTGCACCTCTTGCTCAGGGTTCACTCCTTGGCTTTGCTGCAAACCCAACCCCAGGCCCCCAAACCCAACCCCAGCCCCCAGCCCAAGCTCCTACCTCTGCTCAGTGTCCGTGGCTGGTGATGCAGGGGCAGGGGACAGGCAGGGGACGAGCAGGGGATGAGCAGGATGGGCAGGACAGGCAGGGGGACAGGCAGGGGACGAGCAAGACAGGCAGGGGACAAGCAGAATGGGCAGGGGGCAATCAGGATGGGCAGGATAGGAAGGGGAGAGGCAGGGGGATGGGCAGAACAGGCAGGGGACGAGCAGGGAACAGGCAGAGGATGAGCAGGATGGGCAGGGGATGGGCAGGAGGACGAGCAGGATGGGCAGGACAGGAAGGGAACAGGCAGGATGGGCAGAGGGACAGGCAGGGCAGGAAGAAAACAGGCAGGGGGATGAGTAGGACAGGCAGGGGGACGGGCAGGGGGATGGGTAGGACAGGCAGGGGACAGGCAGGAGATGAGCAGGGGATGGGAAGGGGACAGGCAGGTAACAGGCAGGGGACAGGCAGGAGGACAAGCAGGACAGGCAGGGGACAGGCAGGGGGATGGGCAGGGGACAGGCAGGGGACAAGCAGGGGACAGGCAGGAAGACAAGCAGGGGACGGGCAGGAGGACAGGCAGGGGGAGAAGTGGGATAAGAAGGACAGGAAGGGGATGGGCAAGGGACAGGCAGGAGGACAAGCAGGACAGGCAGGGGACAGGCAGGGGACAGGCAGGGGACAAGCAGGACAGGCAGGAGGACAGGCAGGGGACAGGCAGGACAGGCAGGGGACAGGCAGGAGGACGAGCAGGGGACAGGCAGGACAGGCAGGGGACAGGCAGGGGACAGGCAGGACAAGCAGGGGACAGGCAGGGGACAAGCAGGGGACAGGCAAGAGGACAAGCAGGGGACAGGTAGGACAAGCAGGGGACAGGCAGGGGGACAAGCAGAGGACAGGCAGGGGACAGGCAGGGGGATGGGCAGGGGACAGGCAGGAGGACAAGCAGAGGACAGGCAGGGGACAGGCAGCGGACAGGCAGGACAAGCAGGGGACAGGCAGGGGACAAGCAGGGGACAGGCAAGAGGACAAGCAGGGGACAGGTAGGACAAGCAGGGGACAGGCAGGAGGACAAGCAGGGGACAGGCAGGAGCACGAGCAGGCTGAGGCAGCCCCGCCGCCCTGCCCCGCTCTGCCTCTGCTGCCGGCCGCAGGCAGGAAGCAGCGACCAAAGCTGCAAGAGGCTTCATGTGATGGGGAAACGTCACAGGAAGGTGGCATGGTGGCCCTGCGGTGACAGGCAGGTGACAGCGGCAGCCTCGGCACAGGCTGGTCTGTGGCCAGGAGAGCACTGAGGCCGCCTGGCCACAGGCAAAGGTGTCATTGTCACTCTTGTCCTGTCTGCACCCTGGGACCTGCCAGTGATGGGAACGGGGAGAGCAGAGCTCAGAGGGGACAGCAGAAATCAGAGGGGACAGCAGGCTCGGCAGGCCCAGGCTCACACTCTGAGCCCAGATTCTGTCCTGGCACGGTGCAATTCTGCACCATCCCCTTCCTCAGACTCTGGGTGCCAGAGCTGGGCTGTTCTGGGCCATTCTGGGCCGTTCTGGGCCATTCTGGGCCGTTCTGGGGGCATCAGCATCCGAGCTGCCAATGCCATGTCTGTGCCACCACGTGTCCTCTGCCACTCTTACCCAGCTGATGCCAGGCTCCAGCTGGTGCCAGGGCGAGGGCAGTGCCAGCCCCAGGGCAGTGCCAGCCCCGCTGCATCCCATGGATGGGGAATTAGGGCAGGCATTAGGGCAGGGCCAGGCTCATCCATGGCACTGAGACAGGGATGGGGGGTGTTGTTGGTTGGGGGTTTATGTATAAATTATAAATTACAAATGGGATGGGACTGTTGAGGAGTTTGCTTTGAGCTGTTTTATTCTCTAGTATCAGCCTCATTACATGGTTATGATAATGGGAAGATGTTAGCAGTTTACATTTTTGGTAGTAGGCAAAGAACTTAATGTTACAACTCACTTTAAAAGTTTTTGACCAATGAAACAAAGCAAAAGCACATTGACAGTAGTTCCATCCAACCACCATAAGCACACGTACCTCTGGTTAAAACAATGCTTGCTTATTTCCAAGACAATGTCTGCTTGTAAGCCTTAAAACACAATGCACAGAGCTCCATTATTAAGCTTGGAATTTCCTAATATAGGAAGTATAAAAGCATTAAAAAGTATAAAAGTATAAAAGTATAAAAGTATAAAAGTATAAAAGTATATCTTGCTAGATATACTTCTCTGTAGCTCAGGGAGTTATTTTAAACAAGGATTAATACACAAACCATTGTTCTATTTGTCCTTACTTTCTACTTCTTGTATAATTTTTTTCCCCTGACAAATTTAATGGCTGTTGCTTAGCTCTAATAGCAGTTCTGCTGTTTCTGAGCCTGCCTTTTGCAGCTTTCCCAAACCCCTCAGATTTTAAGGATTAAAATCCTTAAAATTTAGGATTCCCACAGCTGAGCTGTATGATGATTCAACAATCCCTGCCGTCCGTCTGTTAAAAACAGGTTAGAAACTATTGTAAATAGTTGATAGATCATTAAACATGTACTGTTAGTTTGGTTATTATATTTTAGAAGGGGTTAAAGGGTAGTTATAAGAAATACTTATATGGTACCATAACACACCTCAGTGAAGTGCACCACGAGCCAGCCTGGACAGAACTGTAAAGGCCAATCAAGGCCTTCAACCTTCGTGCAAATGAAGGATGTGAAAAACGCCAATCACTTGGTTTTAAAATTTTAAAAGTTTAATAGTAATAAAATGGTTATAAAAATAGTAATACAATTAGAGTAATAATAATTTGGACAATTTGAATTAGGACAATATGAGACAATAGAGACAAAGGGTTACGGATGTCCGGGTACCTTTTTCTGGGCAACACCAGCCTGAAAAAGGACCCACGTTAACAAAGGATTAACCCTTAAAAACAATAGCCTGCTGCATATTCATATACCTCTTCATGATGCATAAATTCCATTCAAATAGAGGATTCTGTCTGGCCATCATCAACTTCTTCCTCTGAATCCTGACAGCGCCTTTGAGGTGGGAAGAAGTTCATTTCTTCTGATAACGGGCAATAAATTCTCTTTCTCTGAAAGATTCAGGTGTCCTGTGGCTGCTATCTCACTGCAAGTCCTTTCTTTAAAAAAGCATCCTACATAGCATCGTTTCTATTTTAACATTTTTTATAATCTAAAACTCTATTTAACACACTACTTAAGAGAATTAACTCAGCATTGCTTTCTAACACAACACATCTAATATCCATTTGAATATTTGCGAAAAGCCAGTCATAAAATACATGCATTTTTCACAAGGATCCAAAAAGAAACCAATCCAAAGGGACTAAAAACAGGATAAAAAGGGGATCTGTCCCAGGGAAGCTGTGCTGCTCCACCTGCTCAAGAAAACCCAGCGCTGGTGCTGCAGCATCCTCAATGGGAACACTCCTCCTTGCCCCCTTGCTTTAGGCCTTTTCTTTTTTATAATAGAAGCTGAAATCACTTCAGTCCGGGAGCTTGCTCTCGTGTTTATCACCTCCCCAAAACCTTCAGGGCCTCCCACGTTTCTGTGGCTTCCTGTTTGCGATGCTCACCGGAACGGGGAAAGCGCGGCGTGAGAGGGGACAGCGGCTCATCCCGCCTTGTCCCGGCTGTTCCTCAGGGAGCTGAGGCTGGGACCACCAGGAATTATTCCTAAAAGGCTTTTTCTGGCTGCTCTGCGCAGCTGGGGGGGTGTTTTCAAGAGGAATGCAAAGAGATCTCCTTGTCCTGAGCTGCTGTGGCCGGAGCCTGGCGCAGCTCCCGGGAATGCTGAGGCTCTGAGGAAGATCCTCTGAGGAAGGTTCTGGCACTGAGGAAGATCCTGGCACTGAGGAAGATCCTGGTATTGAGGAAGGTCCTGCACTGAGGAAGGTCCTGGTACTGAGGAAATCCTGGTACTGAGGAAGGTCCTGGTACTGAGGAAGGTCCTGCACTGAGGAAGGTCCTGCACTGAGGAAATCCTGGTACTGAGGAAGGTCCTGGTACTGAGGAAGGTCCTGCACTGAGGAAAGTCCTGCACTGAGGAAATCCTGGTACTGAGGAAGGTCCTGGTACTGAGGAAGGTCCTGCACTGAGGAAGGTCCTGCACTGAGGAAATCCTGGTACTGAGGAAGGTCCTGGTACTGAGGAAGGTCCTGCACTGAGGAAGGTCCTGCACTGAGGAAATCCTGGTACTGAGGAAGGTCCTGGTGCTGAGGAATTCCTGGCACGGAGGAACATCCTGGCACTGAGGAATTCCTGGTACTGGGGAACATCCTGGCACTGAGAAAGACCCTGGTACTGAGGAAATCCTGGTGCTGAGGAAGATCCTGGCATTGAGAAAGATCCTGGTACTGAAGAAATCCTGGTACTGAGGAAGGTCCTGGTGCTAAGGAAGATCCTGGCATTGAGGAAATCCTGGTACTGAGGAAGGTCCTGGTGCTGAGGAAATCCTGGTGCTGAGGAAGATCCTGGCATTGAGGAAATCCTGGTACTGAGGAAGATCCTGGTACTGAGGAAGGTTCTGGTGCTGAGGAAGGTCCCGGCACTGAGGAAGAGCCTGGTTCTGAAGAAGGTCGTGGCACTGAGGAAGAGCCTGGCACTGCCAGGGCTGCTGGAGGAAGGCTGGAGCTGGAGGTGAGCAGTCCCAGCTCCCCATGGCACACCCGGTTTGGGGGGCTGGGGGGGATTTTGGGGTCCAACGGGGCTTTTTGGGGTCCAGTGGGTCTTTTTGGGGTCCAGCGGGGCTTTTTGGCAGTTGGATGCTGAGCTGGGAGCTCATTTTTGGGCAGCCTGGTTTTCCTGATGAGTGGCAGCAGGACACGGGGGGACAGGACAGGACAGGACAGGACAGGACAGGACAGGACACTCTGCCCCCCCCGGGTCCAGCTCTACAGGAGCTCAGTAGGCTGTGCCCATCCGTGCCTCAGTTTCCCTCCTTTCAATGGCAGGGCATGCCTGGCAAGGCTCGGGGCAATCAGCTGCTTGTGTCCATCCCCGGGGGACAAACGGACACGCTGAGCCCCCACGGACACGGCACAGAGCCAGGGGTGTTGGTCAGCTGCAGCTGCAGCCGCCCCTGGGCACGGACCTGCCGGGAATGGGGATGGGGCAGCTCTGTGCCATGCCAGGGCCGTGCCAGGGCTGTGCCAGGCCAGCAGAGCCCACCCAGGGGATAGGGGACAGGCAGAGGGGACAGGCAGTGTCCCCTGTGCGGGCTGGGCAGCGAGGAAGAGGAGCTGCTGGATGTGGAGGAAGGCTCGGGGAGGGTAAGGGGGGCACAGCTGGGCTGGGAGGGGGAGAGGCTGGGGGGGAGCTGGGCTTGGGGACCACCGAGTGTCATTTAGGGCTTCGGGACTGTCCCTTGGGGTCTGGGGACTGTCCTTAAGGGTTTGGGGACCTCCAACTGTCCCTTAGGGCTTGGGGACTGTCCTCAAGGGTTTGGGGACCACCAACTGTCCTTTAGGGTTTGGGGACTGTCCTTTAGGGTTTGGGGACTGTCCCTTAGGGCTTGGGGAATGTCCCTTAGGGCTTGGGGACTGTCCTTCAGGGTTTGGGGACGTTCTACTGTCCTTTAGAATTTGGGGTCTGTCCCTTAGGGTTTGGGGACCTCCAACTGTCCTTTAGGGCTTGGGGACTGTCCTTTAGGGTTTGGGGACTGTCCTTTAGGGTTTGGGGACGTTCTACTGTCCTTTAGGGTTTGGGGACTGTCCCTTACGGTTTGGGGACTGTCCTTTAGGGCTTGGGGACTGTCCTTTAGGGTTTGGGGAATGTCCTTTAGGGTTTGGGGACTGTCCCTTAGGGTTTGAGGAATGTCCTTTAGGGTTTGGGGAATGTCCCTTAGGGTTTGGGGGCCGCCAACTGTCCCTTAGGGCTTGGGGACTGTTCTTTAGAGTTTGGGGACTGTCCTTCAGGGTTTGGGGACCATTGACTGTTCTTTAGGGTTTGGGGACCTCCAACTGTCCTTAGGGTTTGGGAACTGTCCTTTAGGGCTTAGGGACTGTTCTTTAGCGCGTGGGGACTGTCCTTAAGGGTTTGGGGACGTTCTACTGTCCTTTAGAATTTGGGGTCTGTCCCTCAGGGTTTGGGGACCTCCAACTGTCCTTTAGGGCTTGGGGACTGTCCTTTAGGGTTTGGGGACCTCCAACGGTCCTTTAGGGCTTGAGGACTGTTCTTTAGGGTTTGAGGAGGTCCTACTGTCCTTTAGAATTTGGGGACTGTCCTTAAGGGTTTGGGGACTGTTCTTTAGGGTTTGAGGAATGTCCTTTAGGGTTTGGGGGACCAGCAACTGTCCTTTAGGGCCTGGGGACTGTCCTTAAGGGTTTGGGGACTGTCCTTTGGGGTTTGGGGACCTCCAACTGTCCCTTAGGGCTTGGGGGCCACTGACTGTCCCTTAGGGTTTGGAAACCTCTGCCTGTCCCTTAGGGTTTGGGGACTGTCCATTAGGGTTTGGGGACGTCCTACTGTCCTTTAGAATTTGGGGACTGTCCTTTAGGTTTTGGGGACTGTCCCTTAGGGTTTGGAGGGCCACTGATTGTCCTTTAAATACATAAAAATAATATTTATTATATAAATAATTCAATGTAACATAACATAACATAACATAACATAACATATAACCACATATTTACACATATATAGTATTTATTATATAAATAATATTTATATATATTTTAGTGTAAAATTATATATAAAATCATTTCTATTATTCAAAAAATATCTATATTATCACTTGGAAAAATAGAGGGTGTGGAATTTTAGAGCAGTAAACATTTGGCCATAGCACAAAGTAGCCACAAGTTCCTTGTTACATGACAATATAAAACTTTCTAATTTAACGCCCATTTGCTACAAGGTTTATTTTGCTTTTCTAACTTATCACCTTTATTCACTTTTACTGCACTGCAGTTATTTTTAGTTAATAGGCTGCTGTTATAACTTTTAAAATTTTAACTTTATATCATCACATTATTATACTGTAGACTCTTCACCATCCTATCCAGCACAGTTTCTCACACTTACTTAAGGCATATTCTTACTCATAGAAACATGAGTTTATGATTTTTCTACTTAATGTCTCTGCACTTTATTTTAACATCAATTTTAAATTTAATTTTTACATCAACTTTTAACTCTATATAATCACATTGCTATACTGTAGACTCTTCACCATCTTATCTAACACAGTTTCTTACTTAAACGTAAATTATATTCTTACTTATACCTATAAAAACATAAATTTATGATTTTCTACTTAATATCTGTTTATTTTTACATCAATTTTTAACTTTTAATTTAATTTTACATCAACTTTTAACTCTATATAATCACATTGCTATACTGTAGGCTCTTCACCATCTTATCAATACAGTTTCTTACTTAAATGATATTCTTACTTATAACTATAAAAACATAAGTTTATAATTTTTCTATTTAGTGTCTGTTTATTTTTACATCGATTTTTGACTTTTAATTTAAATTTTACATCAACTTTTAAATCTATATAATCACATTACAATACCATAAAATCTTCACCATCTTCTCCAACACAGTTTCTTACTTAAGGCATATTCGTACTTATTACTGTAGAAACATAAGTTTATGGGTTTTCTTAATTATTTATGATTACAAGTTTATGATTTTTCTTTTTTTTTTCTTTTTTTCTTTTTTTTTTTTTTTTTTACTTAATGCCTGTGTACTTTATTTTTACATCAATTTTTGGGCTCCTGGGTGGAGATAATGGCAGGGAGGGGTCGCTCACCCATTAATGTTGTCAGGAAAATTAATCCACAGACATCAGAGGTCCAAAAAGGAGACAGAGGAGTCCTGTAAATTTATTAGAATAAAGGGAGAGGCCATGGGGCATTCCCCTGGGATCTTTCCAATTTTTGGAGGACTCAGCCTCCTTTTTATCCTAATTTCCCTCTTTCTTTTCCCATTTCTGAGGTATTTGAGAGGTACAGCCTTCCTTATACCAAAGATTCCCCTCTAATGTACAACCTTCCCTTTTAATTTTTAATTCTTATGGAATTTAGGGGTTTTCCCCATTGTTTCTTTCATCTTTCAATATCCAATTTCATTTATCAGCAAAGTCTATTTTTAAAATCAAATCTCTAAAGTTTATTTTTAAAATCAAATCTCTTTTTCCGTTCGTCAATCAGCGGAATCCTTCCTTTTATCTCTCAGTGCTGGTTTTATCTCCCAGCTCGTCTGTAAAGACAAATCCCTCACTCCTCTCAACGTCATGGGCAAAATAGACTCGACTTGGGGAAATTAATTGTGTTTATTACTAATCAAATCAGAGCAGGATAATGAAAAGCAAGACCTTAGCAACATCTTCCACCATTCCTCCCTCCCTCCTCAGGCTCTCCCTCCTTCTTCCAGAGGAGCAGGAGATGGGAATGGGGCTCCTTTCCTTTCCTTTCCTTTCCTTTCCTTTCCTTTCCTTTCCTTTCCTTTCCTTTCCTTTCCTTTCCTTTCCTTTCCTTTCCTTGCCGGAACCTTCCCTTCCCGGAACCTTCCCGGAACCTTCCCAAAACTTCCCAAAACTTCCCAAAACTTCCCTTCCCTTCCCAAAACTTCCCAAAACTTCCCTTCCCTTCCCTAAACTTCCCAAAACTTCCCTTGGTAGGGGGGTTCTGCCAGGGGGCTGGAGGTGGCTGAGCTCACAGTGCTTTCATCTCCTATTAATCTGCTTTTTTTTAAAAAAAAAAACCCCGAATTTTGTGTTTTCTCTGCATTTTGCACCCCTTGCACACTGAGGGAGGGAGAGGCTGCTGTGACCCCACCCCCCCTCTGTTCCTGCTCCTGCCCCATTTCCAAACCCCCTGAGCAGCTCCTGCAGGTCCTTCCCAAGGGCTGAAAGTCTCCAAATTTCCACCTGCTGGAAAATTCGGTGTAAACTGGGAGAGCTGGGCAGGGCCTGAGCTCTGACACAGCACTGGGAGTTCCCTTTGGGGGGTTCTGGGGGGTTCTGGGGGGTTCTGAGGGTCCCTGGGCAGGGCCTGAGCTCAGATGAAGCACTGGGGATTCTCTTTGGAGCATCCTGGGAGGTTCTGGGGGGTTCTGGGGGGGGTCCTGGGGGGTTCTAGGGGTCCCTGGGCAGGGGCTGAGCTGTGACAACACTGGGGATTCCCTTTGGGTTGTTCTGGGGGGTCCTGGGGGGTTCTGGGGGTCCCTGGGCTGGGGCTGAGCTGTGACACAGCACTGGGGATTCCTTTGGAGCATTCTGGGGGGTTCTGAGGGTTCTGGAGGGTTCTGGGGGGGTCCCTGCACCCCCAGGTGTGGCTCAGCCCCTGCCCAGGTGCTGCTGCTGCTGCCCCACAGGACGTGGCTGAGCCCAGGGAGGATGAGGAGGGCCAGGGCCTGGCAGGCACCGCCAGCCCGGGCAGCGTGGAGGACACGTACGAGCTGCTGGAGAGGCTGGGCAGGTGAGGGGGGTCCAAACAGGTGAGGGGGGTCTGGGCAGGTGAGGGGGATTTGGGTAAGTGAGCGGGATTTGGGCAGGTGAGGGGGATCAGGATCCAAACAGATGAGTGGGATCTGGGCAGGTGAACAGAATCCATCCCAGGTGAGCAGGTTGCAGGCAGATGAATACAGGGCAGGCAGGAATCCAGGCAGGTGAGGGGGATCTGGGCAGGTGAGCAGGAATTTGGGCAGGTGAGGGGGATCTGAGCAGGTGAGTGGGATCCAAACAGGTGAGGGGGATTCAGGCAGGTGAACAGAACCCACCACAGGTGAGCAGGTCACAGGCAGGTGAACACAGGGTAGATGGGTATCTGGGCAGGTAAGCAGGGATCCAGGCAGGTTCAGTGGGATCTGGGCAGGTGAGCATGACCCACCACAGGTGACTGGGATCTGGGCAGGTGAGGGGGATTCAGGCAGGTGAGTGGGATCCAGGCACATGAGCAAGAATCTGGGCAGGTGATTGGGGCCTGGGCAGGTGAATTGGATCTGGGAAGGTGAGCAAGAATCCAGGCAGGTGAGTGGGATCCAGGCACATGAGCAGGAATCTGGGCAGGTGATTGGGGCCTGGGCAGGTGAATTGGATCTGGGAAGGTGAGCAAGAATCCAGGCAGGTGAGTGGGATCCAGGCACATGAGCAGGAATCTGGGCAGGTGAACAGAACCCACCAGTGATGAGCAGCTTGCAGGCAGGTGAACACAGGGCAGGTGGGGATCCAGGCAGGTGAGTGGGATCCAAACAAGTGAGTGGGATCTGGGCAGGTGAGGGGGATCTGGATCCAGGCAGGTGAGTTAGATCTGGGCACGTGAGCAGGAATCCAGGCAGGTGAGCAGGGATCCAGGCAGGTAAGCAGGTTGCAGGCAGGTGAACACAGGGCAGGCAGGGATCAAGGCAGGTGAGTGGGATCCAGATAGGTGAACATGATCTGGGCAGGTGAGCAGGATCTACCACAGACGAGCAGGTATCTGGGTAGGTGAGGGGGATCTGAGCAGGTGAGCAGGAATCTGGGCAGGTGAGCAGGAGCTGGGCAGGTGAGTCGGATCCAGGCAGGTTCAGTGGGATCTGCCACAGGTGAGCAGGAATCCAGGCAGGTGAGCAGGTCACAGGCAGGTGAACACAGGGCAGGCAGGGATCTGGGCAGGTGAGGAGGATCTGGGCAGGTGGGGACAGCCCAGAGTGGGATCTGGGCAGATGAGCAGGTTGCAGGCAGGTGAACACAGGGCAGGTGGGGACCCAGGCAGGTGAGTGGGATCTGGGAGGGTGAATGGGATTCATGCAGGTGAGTGGGATCTGGGCACGTGAATGGAATCCAGGCAGGTGAGCAGGTTGCAGGCAGAGTGAATGGGATCCAGGCAGGTGAGTGGGATCTGGGAGGGTGAATGAGATTCAGACAGGTGAGTGGGATCCGGGCAGGTGAGTGGGATCCAGGCAGGTGAGCAGGTCACAGGCAGGTGAATGGGATCCAGGCAGGTGAGTGGGATCCAGGCAGGTGAGCAGGTTGCAGGCAGGTGAGTGGGATCCAGGCAGGTGAGTGGGATCCAGGCAGGTGAGCAGGTTGCAGGCAGGTGAATGGGATCCAGGCAGGTGAGTGGGGTCTGGGCAGGTGAACACAGGGCAGGTGAGGATCCAGGCAGGTTCACTGGGGCACAGCCAGTATCCCAGCTCCACGGCAGCCCCAGGGGTACCCGGATTTCTGGGTTCTCCCCCTGCCCGGTGCCAGCCCAGCCGTGCCCCAGCCCCGCTCTCTCTGCAGCGGCCACTTCGGCGTGGTGCGGCTGTGCCGGGAGCGCAGCACCGGCTCCTTCTACGCCGCCAAGTTCCTGAGGATGCGGCGGGGCCGGCCGGGGCTGGAGCGGGCTCAGGTGGAGCGGGAGGTCTCCATCCTCCGGCAGCTACAGCACCCCAACATCCTGCGGCTCCACGAGCTCTTCAGCAGCGCGGCAGAGGTGGTGCTCGTCCTGGAGCTGTGAGTGGGGTCCCGGAGGGTGGGACCCCCTTTTTGTGCCACGTGTTGGAGGTGGCCGAGCTCCCCTGTCCCCAGGATTGTTGGAGGTGGCCGAGCTCCCCTGTCCCCAGGATTGTTATGAAAATGAACGAGGCCAAACTTTCTCTGGAGAAAGAGGTTCTCGCTTATTAAAATGGCTGCAAGGAATGGTGTCGCAGACATCTTTTTGCGAAAATCCTTTCTTTAGGATTTTTCCCCCTTCTGAGAAGCTGAGGCCCCAGAAGGGGAATGTAAACAATGGTTGTCTGCTGCTGTGAAATGCAACAGGCGCACCTGTGATTGGCCCATGTTGCACGTTTACAATTAAGGGCCAATCAAAGGCTGAGCTCTCTCTGGGACAGAATCAGAGAGAGCCCCTTTGTTTGTTCATTCCTTTTCTATTCTTAGCATAGCGAGCTTCTGAGACTTTCCTCTCTATTCCTATTAGCATAGTCATAATGTAACACATATCATAAATTAATAAATCCAGCCTTCTGATCATGGAGTCAAGATTCTTGTCTATCTCTTCACCTCTGCAAGCCCGGCAACAGAATGGAGTATCCAGGATAAGCCTGAGCGCCCAAACAGCCAAAACCAGAACAGCGCGCTACCCCCAAGTGCACTGGGTTCTCCCCACAAAACAAGTTTCCAAAAAGAAGAACTCCCAACCCAACCAAACTCCCCCCATTTATAGCCCCCTTTGAGTCCAGGATTTGTCCATTTTGGATCAGAATGGTCATTGGTCCATTCCCAGGTTTCTCATTGATCTTTAACACCGTTCATTCTGGACCAATGGTTTCTGCAGGGCTTCGAATGATTGCTCAGATCTTCCATCCAATCTCTCTTCAACCTCACCTTGCCCTGCCAGACCACCCTTCCACCAAACTCTGGACCCTTCTCCTAGCACATTCTAGTAATCCCCACTCTTAACATAATACAATTAACATCACATAACTAATACAATATAATTGAACTATACCCTAATTTAACATAACTTTTACCTATGACAGGATCAGGGGTGGGGAGCTCTTTGACTTCATTGCTGAGAAGGAGATGCTGTCGGAGGAGGAGGCCATCGAGTTCCTGGCGCAGATCCTGAGCGGGGTGCAATACCTGCACGCCCGCCTCATCGCTCACTTCGACCTCAAGGTGGGTATGGCCAGCAGGAGGGGGTTATTTACAGACCACAAACGAGATGGGGCTGCTGTGGAACGGGCCTTGAGCTGTTTTATTTTCCAGCATCACTTATGACAATGGGAAGATGCCAGCAGCTCACATCCCAGGCAGCAGACAAAGAACTCAATGTTACAACTCACTTAATGAGCTTCTTGACCAATCCCACAAAGCAAAAGTATATTGACAGCAGTTCTATCTAATCACTATAAGCACACGTACCTTTGGTTAAAACAATGCTTGCTTATTTCAAATACAACACCTGCTTGTGAGCCTTAAAACACAACACACAGAGCTCCATTATTAAGCTTGAAACTTCCTAATATCTCACTAAATATACTTTTCTACAGCTTAAGGAGTTATTCTAGACAAGTGTTAACACACAGACCGTTGTTTTATTTGTCCTTTCTACTTCTTAGATAATTTTTCTGCTGACAAATCTATGTACAACTCATGGACAGGACAGGACTGCAGTGGAAAGTGCCTTGAGCTGTTTTATTTTCCAGCATCAGTCTCATTACATGGTTATAACAACGAGAAGGCGCCATCAACTCACATCCCCAGCAGCAGACCAAGAACTTAATGTTACAACTTAGTTTACAACTTTTTTTGACCAATCACACAAAGCAAAAGCACATTGACAGTATTTATAGTATATATTCTATATTGACAGCAGTTCTATCCAACCACTATAAGCACACGTACCTTGGGTTAAACAATGCTTGCTTATTTCCAATACAATACTTGTAAGCCTTAAAACACAACGCACAGAGCTCCATTATTAAGCTTTAACTTTCTTAATTTCTTGCTAGATAAACTTTTCTGTAGCTTAGAGAGTTATTCTAGGCACACATTAATGCCATTGTTCTATTTGTCCTTGCTTTTCTACAGTTTAAATAATTTTCCTGCTGACCTATCTCATGGCCCCTGCTTAGCTCCCATCACAGTTCTGCTGTCTCTGGGTCCTGCCTTCTGCAGCTTTCCCCAAAACCCTCTGATTTTGTGGATTCCCACACGTGGGGACCCCCCATCCTCACTCCCTGGAACCCCTGGGTCACCCCGCTGTGCCCGGCCCTGTTCCCACAGCCCGAGAACATCATGCTGCAGGACAAGGACGTCCCCAAGCCCCGGATCAAGATCATCGACTTCGGGCTGGCCCAGCAGCTGCAGGATGGCATCACCTACAGGAGCCTCTGTGGGACCCCCCAGTACATTGGTAGGGGGCTGGCACATCCCTGGGGGTCCCTGCACCCACCCAGGCCTGCTCCTGTCCCCCTGATGTCCCACCCTGGCTCTGTGTTTGCCCCCAGCTCCTGAAGTGATCAATTACGAACCACTGAGCCCTGCGACCGACATGTGGTGAGGATCAGGACCTGGGGGGCAGCAGGCTGAGCTGGTGGGTGGGGAGAGCCCCCCCTGGGTGCCACAGGGCATGGGGGGCCCCAGGGAGGGCAGCAGCTGACCCCCACCCCTGCATTTCAGGAGCATCGGAGTCATCACCTACATTCTGTGAGTATGGGGCAATGCTCTCTGTGGCTGGGGGAAACTGAGGCACAGGGGTGGGTGCTGGTGCTGTCCTGGCACTCAGTGGCTCTGTTGTGTCCCCACAGGCTCAGTGGCCTGTCCCCCTTCCAGGGTGAGACGGATGCTGAGACCCTGTCCAACGTTGTGGCGGGTGCCTACGAGTTTGAGGAGCGCTGCTTCAGCCAGACCTCCGAGCTGGCCAAGGACTTCATCCGCCAGCTGCTGCTGAAGGAGCCACAGTGAGGCCCCATCTCCATCCCTTCCATCTCCTTCCCATTTCTGCCCCCACCTACACCTCTGTTATCCCCACCTTCAAAATCTCGGTCCCCATCTTCATCGTTCCTATGCCCATCTCCATCCCAGTCTGGTCTCATCTTCATCCCAATCCCCACCTCCATCATCCCTATCTCTCTTTCCATCTCCATCCCATTTCTGTGGCTATCCCCATCCCTATCTCCATCCCCATTCCCATCCCATCCCATCCCATCCCATCATCCCCATTCCCATCCCATCCCATCCCATCCCATCCCATCCCATCCCATCCCATCATCTGCATCCCCAAGCCATCGTTATCTCCATCCCATCTCTATTTCCATCTCGTTCTCATCCCCTTCTACATCCCCACCATCTCCACCTCCATCTGGTTCCCTTCTCCATCCCCACTAGCAAAATCCTGATGCTGAGCCTACCCCTGACCCTAACCCTAACCCTGACCCTGACCCTAACTCTGACCCTAACCCTAACCCTAACCCTAACCCTAACCCTGACCCTATGCTTGACCCTAACCCTGACCCTAACCCTAACCCTGCTCCTAACCCTGACCCTAACCCTGACCCTAACTCTGAACCTGACCCTAACCCTGACCCTAAAACATAACCTAACCCTAACCTTAACCCTGATCCTGACTCTAACCCTGACCCTGACCCTGATCCTAACCCTAACCCTGACCCTGATCCTGACCCTGACCCTGATCCTGACCCCGACCCTAACCCTGACCCTGACCCTGACCCTGACCCTGACCCTGACCCTACCCCTGACGCTGACCACAACCCTAACCCTAAACCTGACCCTGACCCTGACTCTGACCCTGACCCTAACCCTAAACCCTAACCACTAACCCTAACCCTAAACCATAACCCTAACCCCGACCCTGATCCTAACCCTGGCCCTAACCCTAACCATGACCCTGACCCTGACCCTAACCCTAATCCTGACCCTAACACTGCCCCTGACCCCTCCCCATCCCCAGTGTGGGTCTGTGGGCCAGGACCCCCGACCCCAACCCCTCCCTGTGTCCGCAGGCGCCGCATGAGCACAGCCGAGTGCCTGGTGCACCCCTGGATCAAGGTGAGCGGCACGGGCAGGGCCTGCCAGGCCTCTGGCAGCGGGGTGGGCACACGGGGACAGTGGCAGTGACAGTGGCAGTGCCACGTCCTTGTCCCCGCAGCCCCTGAGCAGGAAGCAGGCGCTGAGCCGCAGCCGCTCCTCCATCAACATGAGAAACTTCCGCAAGTTCAACGCCCGCAGGAAGTGGAAGGTGCCCGGTTGTGGGGTCCCAGCACGCCTGGGCAGCCCCCCAGATCTGGGCAGGGACCCCCATCTCACACCCCTCCCTCTGTGTCCCCCCGTAGCTCTCCTACAACACCGTGTCCGCCTGCAACCGCCTGTGCCGCCTGGGGAGGGAGGATGAGGAGCTGGTGAGCCCCCAGATCCCACCCAGCACGGGCTGGGGAGGGGGGAAAAGGGATTTGAGGGGGTTCTCTTTCAGTTTTGGGGGGAAGAAAGGATTTGGGGGGGTCTCCCTCCGTTTCTCTCTATGGCAGTGCCCCCTGTGCTGCAGACCCCCTGTTTTGGGCATCCCCCCATTGCCGGGGCAGTGTGATGGGGGCATGGCGCAGGGTGGGGGTGCTGTGCACTGAGGGGTGCCCTCTCTTCGGGGGGAAGCCCTGGCCGTGCCCTGCAGCCCCCCCTGTGCCCCCAGCGCCGCTGTGAGAGCGACCCCGAGGAGGAGAGGAGCCCCCAGACCGCTCTGCTGCGCCGGAGGAGAAGCAGCTGCTCCTGAGCTCCTCCCAGAAAAGGCAGGAGGAGCCTTGGGGTGCCCCCATCACCCCATCCAAAGGGGCAGAGGCACTGCCAGCTCCAGTTCTGTGGTTTTGGGGGGTCACTGGGGCATCAGCACCCCGCTCTTGCCCCCAGGTTTTGCCCTCCTCCCTGCTTTGTCCTAATGAGAAAAATAAATGTCACCTCCTCCTCCTCCTCCTCTTGTCCTGCTTCTCCTTCCCCTTGAGGGCGGCTCGTCACAGCCGGGCAGGTGCTGAGTGCCCGCAGCTTCCCCCCTCACTGCAGGGCTGTTCTTCTGTGGGGACCCCAAAAGTCTCCCGGCACCCCCGATTCACCCTGCCAGGCACAGTGACCCTTAAATTGTCCCTTCTGTGCTATTCCATGAGTTTCTGGCTGCTTTCCCGGTGTCCCCCCCCCCTCGCCAGAACCACTCGGAACCTCCCGCTCCGGCTGGGGAAACTGAGGCACGAGGCAGCTCTTCCTTCCCACCCACTCGGGCGCGGGGGGGACCGCGCTGTTTTTTCCCCCCCCACCTTCTCTATTTCCCAAACATGCCCTGGCCCCGGCCCTGACAGTTGTCAGGCTAAATATTTTGTGTGCGGCAGCCGAAAACAAAAGTGAAGGGGCCGCAGGCTCCGGGCAGGGCTCCCCCCCGTATCCCGGCGCTCCCCGGGCACCGGACACGGACACGGACACGGCGAGCGGCATCGGGACGGGCCCGTTCGAGGATGGGGCCGGGGGCGCTGCGTGCCCCGAGGCTGGGGGTGATGCTGCTGCTCCTTGGCCACCTCCCGGTGCCCCCCGTGTGGGCGCCCTCGGAAAGTGAGTGCTTTTGGTGGGGGGTTTCGGGGTGGGGGCTGCCTGTGTTCGGGGGTCTGCAAGGGATAAACCCCGAGGCAAAGTTTTTGGGGCGTTCCCTGTCTGGGTTTGCCACCCCCAATGATGCAGAATCCCCGTTTTGGGCAGGAGGGGCAGAGAGTGGGAGCTCCCTACGGCTGGGATGGGATGAGGGGAGTGGAGTGGGGGGCTTGGGCAGAGATGGGACCCTCAGCCCCAGCGGGATGTGGGGAATTGTCACAGCTCCCTGAGCAGCTGCTGGGGTGGGAAAGGTTGGGGAGGGGGCAGCCGTGGGTCCTGGGTGTCATGGCCACAACAGGGGGTACAAGGAGGGTCTGTTGTTTGTCCTGCCTTCCCCTCTGCTGCCACCCGTGCCTCAGTTTCCCCAGCCACCGAGGGGCTGTGGGAGCGATGGAGGAAGAGGATGGAGCACCCAAGGGACACAGGGTGCTGTGCCTGCTCCCACTGGGACCCCTACCGTTTGTCTGTGCTCCCAGGGGACCCCCTCCCCTTACAGGGGGATTTGCAGAGTCAGGGGGGTGATGGTGGCACTGGGGACCCCCTCCCCTTACAGGGAGGTTTGCAGGGCCAGGGGGTTGATGGTGGCACTGGGGACCCCCTCCCCTTACAGGGGGACTTTGCAGGGTCAAGGGTTGATGGTGGCACTGGGGGTCGGTGCTGCAGGGAGACAGAGGGACCCTCCTGTCCTCAGAGGAGGGGACAGGGCTGGCAGTGAGGGGCTGAACATGGGGTGAGGGGCTCTGGGCAGCTGCCAGAGCCACGGTGCCCATGGGGTCACAGTGCCCACGGGGTCACGGTGCCCATGGGGTCATGGTGCCCACAGTTCATGGGTGACACCAAAAGGGGAAAATCACCACTGGGCATGAAGTTACAAGGACATGGCCACGAGCCTGGGCTGGCAGCAGGCAGATGAGGGGTGAACCACGCACCTGATCCCCTCCAGGACCTGGCCCTGGTTTCTGGCTGGGGATGATGTCCATGAAGCTCTGTGCTTGGTCTGGCTCTTGCATCCCTGCCAGGATCAGGAAGCAGGAGGTGCTGGAGCTCCATTTCTGAGTGGAAAAGCCCCAGGACAGACAATGTGGGGCTGGAGTAGTGCCACATGGACACCTGTGGCGGCCTTGTGTGCCCCATTACCTGTCTGGGCACGAGGGGGAGTTAATGGGGACAACCTTGCTGGAGCTGCCACTCCCTGGGTAACCATGAGTGGGGACATCCATGAGCACCCAGCAATTTGGGGAAGGAGAAAATCCATCTGCACCCCCAGACAAATTCCCCAGGGCTGGGACGTGATCCCTGCCCCGTGTCAGCCTGCCAGGCCTCACTGGAGCTGCCACTCCCTGGGTAACCATGAGTGGGGAGATCCGGGAGCACCCAGCAACCTGGGAAAGGAGAAAAGCCATCTGCACCCCAGACAGCTTCCCCCAGGGCTGGGACGTGATTGTGGGGCTGACAAGGGGCAGGGCAGCCTGCCAGGCCTCGTCAGCATCACTGCTGACAGACGTGCCATGCCCTGGAGAGCTGCTGCTGCCAGAGCCGCTCACATCTCCAACTCCAGCCACGCTTGACAGGCAGCACCAGGATATTAAACCCGCCCTGAGCATCCCCTGGGGGATCCATGGGTGGGGGTTTGGGGGTGCGGTGGTGTGGGAGTTGGGGATCTGTCCCATCCCTGCTGCCACCCACGGGGTCCCCCCTCTCGCCACCGCAGTCTGCGGCAGCATGGACATCCGCCACGACGTGTCCCAGCTGCGGAAGCTGGAGAACTGCTCCATCATCGAGGGCAACCTGCAGATCCTGCTGATGTTCACCACGGGCGCCGAGGACTTCCGCGGGCTCAGCTTCCCCCGGCTGCTGATGATCACGGAGTACCTGCTCCTCTTCCGCGTCTACGGGCTGGAGAGCCTGCGGGATCTCTTCCCCAACCTCTCGGTCATCCGCGGCACCAACCTCTTCTTCAGCTACGCCTTGGTCATCTTCGAGATGCCGCACCTGCGGGACGTGGGGCTGCACAGCCTGGGCCACATCCTGCGCGGCTCGGTGCGCATCGAGCGCAACCAGGAGCTCTGCCACCTCTCCACCATCGACTGGGGGCTGCTGCTGCCCGACGGCGGCGACAGCACCTACATCGTGGGCAATAAGTTGGCTGAAGAGTGTGCTGATGTCTGCCCGGGCATCCTGGACGTGGAGAAGCCGTGCGTGCAGACCAGTGTTAATGGACAGCTGGATTATCGCTGCTGGACCTCCAGCTACTGCCAGAAAGGTGGGTGGCACTGCCACGGGGGTCTGGTTGTGCTGATTTTCTGGGATTGTGTTGGTTTGTGGGGTAAACTGGGAGGGTGCTGGTGGTGTGGTTGTGGCTCCGCTGCTGCCGGGAGTGTGCTGTGCAGGCAGCACGGTGGGGTAACCAGATCCGTGCTGTATCATCCTCCGAGGAGAGGCCAGCTCCTTGCTGCTATGTTTTCCCGGTGCTGAGGTAAATACAGGCCCCTCCTGAGCTCGTTTTCTGTAAACAGGAGAGCTGGTAATGAAATATGTACTATAAACACAGATCCTTATCTGGGCTGCAGGCTCAGCTGTGGGCCTGGCCTGGCTGCACTGGGCAGAGGGGGTTCAGCATGGGCTGAGCCCCACCTTGTCCATCTGTCTGTCCTGCTGTCCCTCCATGCAGCCCCTCATCCACCCATCACCCCACCTGCCCGGCCAGCCTCACTCATCACATGTCCATCCATCCATTCCTCCATCCCTTTGGGCGCCCCTCCATCAGTGCTGCTATGCCTCCATCCACTCCTCCATCAACCCATCTCTACCTCCCTGTATCCCTCTATCCTTCCCTTGCTCCCTCCATTCTTGCATCCTCACATCCCAGCATCCCTCCTTCTGTCCCTACATCCTTCCTTCTGTCCTTGCATCACATTCCTCCCTGCATCCCACCATCCCTCCCTCTGTCCCTGCATTCCTCCATCACTGCATCCATCCCCACATCCCTCCCTCCCTTCCTGCATCCCTTCGCCCTTCCCTCCATCCCTGCATTCCTCCATCACTGCATCCATCCCCACATCCCCACATTCCTCCCTTCATCCCACTGTCCCTCCCTCCCTCCATCACCGCATTCCTCCATCACTGCATCCATACCCATGTCCCTCCCTCCCTGCATCCCTTCATCCCACCATCCCTCCCTCCCTCCATTCCCACATTCCTCCATAACTAAATCCATCTCCACATCCCTCCCTGCATCCCTTCGTCCTTCCCTCCAACTCTGCATTCCTCCATCACCAAATCCATCCCCACATCCTTCCCTATATCACTTCATTCCACCATCCCACCATCCCACCATCCATCCATCCATCCATCCATCCATCCATCCATCCATCCCCGCATTCCTCCATTCCTCCATCACTGAATCCATCCCCTCATCCCTCCCTGCATCCCTCCATCCATCCATCCATCCATCCATCCATCCATCCATCCATCCATCCCTCCCTCCCTCCCTCCATCTCTCCACCCCACCCTCACTCCCCCTTTCCCCCATCCCTGGAGGATGCCACCAGCCCCCCAACCCCTTCCCCCTCTCTCCTCTCCCCCCAGTCCCAATCCCTGCAGCCTGTTCTCCATGCCCACATGCCCATCTCCCCTCCCAGTGTGCCCATGCGGGGTAGGCTCAGCATGCACAGCAGCAGGCGAGTGCTGCCACCCCGAGTGCCTGGGGGGCTGCAGCCGCCCCCACGACCGCCGGGCCTGCGTCGCCTGCCGCCACTTCCACTTCAACGGGCACTGCCTGCCCTCGTGCCCGCCCCGCACCTACGAGTACGAGGGCTGGCGCTGCGTCACGGCCGAGTACTGCGCCAGCCTGCGCAAGGTCTCCCACGACCCCCGCGACGCCTCCAAGTTTGTCATCCACCAGCGGCAGTGCCTGTCCGAGTGTCCCTCGGGCTACACCAGGAACGAGAGCAGGTGGGGGTGTCCCCGGTGCCCTGGCATGGGCAGGGTGTTGGCACGCTGGCTGGCTCATGTCCCGTCCCTATCGCCCTGCCCGCAGCATGTTCTGCCACAAGTGCGAGGGGCTGTGTCCCAAGGAGTGCAAGGTGGGCACCAAGACCATCGACTCGATGCAGGCGGCGCAGGAGCTGGGGGGCTGCACCC